TAACCACCCTGTAACAACATACATACAAGCGTACGTGCATGCACTGTGGATGTCAACCAACACCAACTGCCAAAAGAACAAGCCAACTGCCGGCCATGCAGCGAGGCCCAGATCCGGACGACAGGACCGGACCGGACCCCGGGCTGTCTATCCGGACCCCCTCCGGGCTAGCGCCATGCAGGTGCCCTCCCCCCTCCGGGCTAGCGCCATGCAGGTGCCCTCCCCCCTCCGGGCTAGCGCCATGCAGGTGCCCTCCCCCCTCCGGGCTAGCGCCATGCAGGTGCCCTCCCCCCTCCGGGCTAGCGCCATGCAGGTGCCCTCCCCCCTCCGGGCTAGCGCCATGCAGGTGCCCCTCCGCCTTACCCCGCCAACGCAGCCAACGCCTTCCCCCATGTGGCTGTGGCTTGCCACCCCCACCCCCACACCACATACCACAAGGGCTCCGTTTCCTTCACCCGACCCACCCTACCACCCCACCTCAGGTACGTCCGGAGTGCCTCTCCCCACCGGACTGTTTTACCTCACCCCCCCGCTCCCATCTCCCCCGTCACCCACTCTGTCAATCAGCTCCCTGGGCAGGTACCCGGGCCTCCACCGCTCCACCGAGTCCACCAGTCGCCCCACCAGGCTGCTGCGACCCACGAGCCACTCCTGGTACACAGCCAACACGGCCAGACGACGAGAGAACACACGGCCGGTAACTGAGAGGAGAGAGCGGGGGAGGGGGCGGGGGACGAGGGAAGGGGAGAGTGGATGGGGTTTTAGGGGGAACAGGAAACATCGGGAAGACAGGTGAGGGAGGGAGGGATGTGTATGTGTTGTGCGTACCCGCAAGTACCCATCCTCTGCGCCAGGACGCAGCGCAGTTCCACTTTTTAACGTCTATTCCGGCGTTTGACCCATCAAGGTGCTCGCTTCGGAGTTGTGAGTGTTCCCGCCTCCCACGGCCCGGCAGGGTTACATTCCATCCCCTCCTCCTTTTTCACCGGGTGATCGCATTTCCCGACTGGCCTCCCACACCAGCACCCGCGAAGCTCTCTGTTCCGCGCTGGTGGCGTGAGTCAACCAGCGATAGCCTCACCCGTCGCATCGTCATTCCAGGACGCCTCAAGTGTCACATTTGCGAATTTTGTTGAGAATTTCCGCGTTATATCAGTCGTCACCCCCCAGCCCTGCTGGTCAAGGAGCTCCAATAGGGAGGCCTGCGGCAACCGTGATGCGCCGGGACAGCCGCCACCGAGCGGAAAGCTGTTAAGGTGAAGCAATCGAGTTTTGAAGTTGGCAAGCACCACGCCACGGGGCACTGCTGTAGGATAACTGTCTTGCATCTTGTAAATACATTTCCGCAAATCTCCGACGGAGGACGCATACCGGGTTAGAGCGTTCATGCTCCTCGTCGAGGACTTCCGCAATAATTCCTGTAGCCGTGGCCGCGACCAAGCCTGACAGCTGGCGCCAGTGTCCCAGAGGCGCGGTGCAATTGCGCCTGTTGCTCGTTCCACATATAGCGGCATCCTTTGTAATCGGCGTGCGTATAGCGTTTTTAATTTGCCTTGGATGTGGAAGCGGCCAAAGTCCTTGGCGCGTGCCCAAAGGGAGAGTTGTGACGTTTTGCATTTGTGAGCACAAGAACTAATCAACCATTCTAAATGTTTTTCATACGTACAGTACTCTACCTATTGCGTAAACACGCGATGTTTCGGGTCTCATTCCAATAAACAGCCGCCCCTGTCGTCCATGGGTCTCTTGAAGAACTGAAAGTTCCTAACCCATTCGCTGCGGACGACTTGCAACCTTATTTTTATAAATAGTAGAATAATTTTCCAATTCATCTTGGCGGATATGCTCTCTTGAAATGCCGTTTCCACGCCCGAGCAGACTCCCCACAGTAACCCGGACGCCCCAGGCTTGCCCTTTTGTTCTACTAAAGCACAGCGCTCATACTTTTGTTAACTCCCACACAGCCCAGAGGCGGAGCTATGGGGAGTGTGGCGTTACAATCAGCGCCGCGATGGCTTCGACGCCGAGTGACCATCGGCAAAGTTATGTGCGCGCAAAGGCAGCATCACTATTTCTGCTACTACCTGCAGCTTTTGGTATCGTCCGCGTGGCTTCCGGAGTCCTCCTTGCCTTACAGGTCAGCGGACAAGACCGAAACACACAAGCAAAACCGAATTATACTCCCTTATGTTTTTCCTTGGGAATTACCCAGATATTTCACGCACGTCGCTAAATTAACACACCTTGTGTCACACCTGAACAGCTATAGAACTATCACAGTCGGCTATGTCACTTCCAGCACGCACACGAATCTCAATTCCACGTCTCCGCTGATCAAACCACCTTCAAACCTATGGCCGCTGCTGCACCTGTGACTCCGCAGTACAATTCCATAACCAACTGCCAACTCCCTAGCCGACGTAACGACCACTCTTCACAGCACAAAAAAAGCCAGCATCCCATCGTCCGCATGGCCCACATCCGAATCCTCCCATAGAGTGGCTGCATCTCTGGCATCAACGCCCTCCTAGACGGCATCCTCTCCGATGCCTTTGGCGGCGGCGGCGGCGGCGGATCCAGCGGCGCCGAAGCCGACCTCAGCGGCCTTGACGCTGACGCCACCGACCTGGCCGGCTCCGCCAGCGGCAGCGGCAATCTCTCTGATGAGGCTCTGACGGACGAGGAGCTTCGACGGGCTCTGGGTGGGCAGCTGGAGGATCTGCTGCAGGGCCTGTCTGGCGCGGATCTGGACCCCGAGCAGCTGCTGCGGATGTTGCTGCTCGGTGCGGCCACCGGCAGCTTGGACCCGCGGCACATCAGCGAGCTTGGGGGGCTGTACCTGTGGCTGCTGGGCGCCCAACTAGCGGCCGTGCTGTGCAAGTGGATGCTTGCCTTGGCAAAGGCGCTGGACCCTTCCAGGGTGGGTTAAGGTTGGTGATGTCTTGTGCGCTGTAGGAGGCGCGCATTCCGGCTGGTATGGGATTTACCGGAATGTAAGGGTTGGTTGGCTGAGGTATGTGAAGGCGGGTTGGGCCTGTCAATCTTTGGTTATGTGGACATATTGCGGGGGGTTAGTGGGGATTGCTGGGGCGCCGTCGCCTAGGGCCCAGCGATTAAGCTCCACGGGGAATATACGGCATACAACAACAACACACGGCAGGCGGCTGGCAGAGGTTAAGGCCTGGCTTCTGCCTGGCTTCTGCTCCCGTCGCGTCCCAGCGCGTCCGGGTTCAAATCCGCCTGCCGACCTCTCGGGGTGTTTGAGAGGTGATGAAATGGGAGGTGGCCCCCCATCTTGTGGACGGTGTAGGACGTGATAAAATCAACTCGCGAGCTGACCAGGAACTAAGTTGACGCGCCGTTGATCCGCTAGATTTGGTTGGATGCTGGTGGTGAGTTGCCAAACTCAAAGAGTACACTCTGAAGTCGGATGGGGTGAATGGCTTAGGGTGCCCCTCTAGCAGGGGAGAGCAGGGAACTGCCTCGGGAAGGAGGCCACTGGTGAAGCTTAACCACCCTGTAACAACATCAACAACTGTTCAGGTTGCTGAGGAAGTGGTTGTCCACGATCTTGCATGACCTGCCCTCAACCGGCTCTTGCTTAAAGCACGAACCATGGGTCTTTTGGACTTTCGGGTTGCAGTTTAGCACTGAGTGCATGTTTAGGTACGTCCCCGTCCCCTCGCCTTCCAACGACTGAAGCATGCGCATTTTGTCTCTGTGTTTTTGCTGTGGCGTTTCGACGGCTTGTGGCTGTCGTTGTTGGGCTGCTGCTCAGATCTGGCTGCAGCTCTCCGAGCAGCAAATGCACTCGGGGCTGGGCGCTGCTGTGACTCGCGGATTCGCCATGATGCTCCCGGCGCTGGTGCTGCTGCTACGGCTGCCCTGGATGCAATCTGTGGCACTCGTGCTGCTGCAGCGCGAAGGGCATGTGAGCCGCTGGTGGCCCTTACGACCTGGGCGAACACGGGAGCAGCCGAAGGGGGTGCAGGAGCTGGAACCCGCATCGCAAGCGCAAGGGTCTGTGGCAGAAGGTGGAGGACCAGGTCCCTCTGGGGCCGGAGCATCAGTCATCCCAGTTCAACTAGACGGGGGGGACGATGCAGCTCCGCACACTGATGAGCAGCAGCAACAGCGGCGGGTTCAAGCAGCATGTAGCACGACGGGGGCACGTGCGGTGAACATGTGCCTTAGCTTGCAAAACAGCCAGGCCGGCTTTGCATACGAAGATTCGTCCCCCTGTAGTGCATCGCGAAGTGAAGAGCTCGTAAGCAAGAGCTCAGGAGCTGTGATGTCGTCACGTGAGCCGCTTGGCACGACAGGAGAGGGGCGAGATAGATCTGAGCTGCTGGCGAACTCGGTGGCATCGACATCAGCTGATGGGGGAAATTGCACTGGGCCCCGCACGCGACGTGGCAGGACGCCAGATTCGGGTAGGCTTGCACTTGACGTACTGCGGTTGGCGGCACTGCTCGGCACTAGTGTGGCGGCGATCTTGGTGCCAAGCAGTCGGATAGCTCCATGGCCTGTTAAGACGGCGGACTTGGCGGCTGCAGCAGCGTCAGCCGCACTGGCGCTTACAGCTTTCGCCGAGGTAAGGTTCGTGCGTGCAATATGTGGCGTCACAAGGGCGGTGAACTACCCAGCAAACATGTCTCTGCTCCCTTTCGCGGCCCTTTACAGGTATGGAGGCTTGACGGCCGCGGTTTCCTGTTTGCAAATGATGCTGAGGGGGGGATTAAGCTGGGCGTGTTGATGCTCCTAGTTCGCTGCGGTGTTGAAATTGCTACCGCGGCATATTCTGGGAGGTGGGAATTGGCGTTCTTCAGTTGCTGCATGTGTGGAGTTTCATGGTTCAACTGCGTATCCATGGAAACACAGCCAGACAAGGCATACTACCATTTGTGGTGTGCAACTGTGTCAGCCTTCTCTACATTCTCTTACTTTAGGATAGTGTTGTAACTGTTAAGCCGGCAGGTACAAAACCTTCGGGAAAAAGTGAACGACAGGCGAGGAAAGCCACCTCCATCGCGCTGTCTTATTACCAAACGTTATTGTTGCCGACACGCCTGCGTCATGTCACCACCTGCAACCCCCTGCCATGCCTACGCGTCTCCCTTGCAACGCATAGTCACGGGCACCAGAGGAGAAAATGCTCCCATGTCGCGCTTAGCAAATAACAACCCTTAGGAGCCTGGCATAGATACCTAGTTCTACCAGGCCTCCTATGAGACGGCTTCAATACCGACCAGCGCTCACATCTTTTGATGTGACGACAATGGCCGCCACCACGGTACCACAAATAAAAAAGGTGATCATCCTGGCACTGACGAAGTGCAACCCTTTCCCTGCTACAAGCAGCAAGGCCAGGTTCAGCCTACTAGTAAAGCGAAACGCTCATACCTACCATCCTACCCAGGAACGCGAAGACCGAAGCACGATAGACTGGACTAACATGCATGGTCGCCAACCCCACCCCCCTAGTTCGACACAGCTCGCCCAAACCTGAACCCCGTTTTGTCAGTACTGTGCGACCTGTGTTTGCCAGGCAGCAGGAGACGGGGACGTCATGTAACGTGTGGCGTGCGGACTGGGTTGGTAAGCGCCGTGGTACGGGTTCACCGGCTGCTGCATGTCCCCGTATCCTGCCATCTGAGGCTGGATTTGCTGGTCGTTGCCGTACTGTCCCGCGTCACCTCCGTCATCGGAGGCTGGTGCGTATAAGCCCATTCCATCCTTTCGTGCTCCGAGCCTGTCCGATTGCTGCCGCGAGCGCTCCGATGGTGCCTGAAGCGTAATTGAAGGAAAGAATTGGTTGAAGGGTCCCAGACGTGGATGCCATAGCTAACGTGCCGAATCACCAGCATGACGCTAGATTTGCTCCTTTAGAGGTTTTAGTTGACCAGCCTCTGGTTTGAATGCCAGATCCCAATGAGGCAAGCCAGCAGCAATATGACACTTCGACGGGATAATGTAGTTAATCAGTGTCTATGACCGGCGACGTGTCTGTGAGCCCAGCCACCAGCATAATTGCGTTTATTTCCTTGATGTCTGCTCCGGCTTACCACCATGCGCACGGGGACGTTATCCATCATCGGCATGTGGGTGAACAAGCTGTCTGAGGTGGAGTTGTAGTCCAGCAGCGGAGTCGCTGTGCTGAACGCCGAGTAGGCTTTCTGATAGCACTCCTGTAGCAATTGCAGGAGGGAACGGTAGGGATGGCCGCGAACTTTCAGCGCTGTCATGCAACTGCAGCATACCATCTGCACCACCCCAGACGATATTTCAAGGCTTGGGGGTTCCGAATGATAACCCACTGTTGCACTTTGCCCAGGTCTTGTCGCCCGTGCGAGATGGACTTAGAACGGAACCTGTTCATGGCAACGCGGTGGTGTGCGCACCTGCAGGATTTGCAGAGAAAGACCCGTGTAGTCTCGGAGGACACCTGTGTCCTTGATCAGCGTGTTCAGAGAGTTGAACACGGTCTGCTCCAGCTCGCGGTAGGCGTGCATGGTACCTGGCGAATGCACGTCCATGGCCACGGGATAGTCGTGTCATACATGCGTAATGTACAGGTACTCCGCCTTGTGACAGTCACAAAACCGAGACCCATGCAGATCGCCTCCATAAAGCAGAATCCAACGCAAAGCGCCTTTAAGGAGCAAGTGTGTTTCACTCACGGGTCAGCTTGTCCCGCTTGTGGTGCAAGAGCTGCGTCATCTTCTCGAGCTCCTGCTCATGCTTGTCCTTTTGCTGCGGCGTAGGTACTGTCTTCTCCAAGCGGTCCACTTTCTCTGGAATAACAGTAGTCGCACCAAAGTACCGTACACAGAATTGGTAGCGAAGCACGTAAACCTCAAATAATAGCTTATAATTTCATACGATGAAATTCTGTAGGTTCCTGCATATGGCAAGCCGGGACTTACCAGTCAAGCTGTCGACCGTCCGGCGTCGTGAATCCAGCTCAAGCCGCACTGCCTCGAGTTTCTCCATACGATCCTGAAATGTAGGATACATGCCGATAGGTAAGGTTATTGACATCGCCCTTGCTAGGACCGGTTTAAGTATGCAATTAACTTACGCAAACAGCCCGGTAGGCTATGAGCCACGACCGAAGTGGCTTGATAACATCTTCATCTAGCCGGGCCTTGAGGTCATTGGCTGCTTGCTGCAGAATCTCCACGCCGACGCCCTGGCCAATAAGTTTCGGCTCCTCTGTGCATGGCACTGCTCCGTCGCGGCCCTCCTCAAACGCACGAGGCAGGGGTGATGAAAGAATGTTGCGGAGATTTGTGAATTTGGCTGCGGCAGGAGTAGCATGCAAGTGTCAGGAAAGAAGCCAAAAGAATTTGCGCCCAATGGTTGACTGTGCGGCCAAGTGTGGTGGAGTGACTTTGCGACGCAATTTTACCGTCAATCTCCTTGTGCAGACTCCGGAGATCACGCTCCAGGACCCGCAAGTGAGTGCAGAACTCAGTGGCCTCCTTAAACATGGCCTCGTTACGTGCGTTTGAAGTTGCCTTGAATGTTCGGTCCGCACCGACCTTCTGCCGAACATTCTCCATAACAACACGCCATGCATGTCCCATGGTGTCCTGGTGCTGCCTATGTCAGGTGGAGTTTTGTATTGTTAAAAAGTAGTTGCCCTCCTAGGTTTATAAAGGAATAATGAGAAATCCCTGAGCAACTGTGCGCAATGCGATAGGTGATTGGCCTCAAAACCTTGCGCAGGGATACGGTTTACAGCGTTTGTAATAATTGCGCAAGTTCCAGATCCTGTCGTACTTTGGAATGCCTGGCGAAAGGAAGCACCCAACATTCTTTTCCCTAATATAGCTGTTGCCTTTCTTTCACAGGATGGGTCTGTATTGGGCCACCTGCCGATATTAAGGAAATGATATGCCCATGCGATAGTCTTTCCTGAGGCCCTGCTCCACATTTACCTGGCACCCATACCAGCATCTTCGTTGCCTGGATAAACGAAAAATATAAACTTTAACGGTAGATCAGCAAGTCTCTCGGCTTTGCCAAGCCGGCACATCAACTTGGTGCGTCCCTCCGACTCCAGCAACGCAAAGTGGCATATTACCGGAGAAGGAATATGGGTCCCGTAGATGACAGACCCAAGGACCCTCAAGTAAGCTCTGAAAGCCTGTAGTAGAGCGGACACTACATGCCCGACAGGGCCCTGCAATCCCCAGGTCCATAGAACTTAAGCTTGTTCCGATTGCGAAACGTGCCTAGAGGACGCCTGCAGGCATTTATAGTCAAAGTCCTGGAGCACTTGGGATAGCCAGAGGTGTCCTTAAGACGGGGCACTACCTGGAGAAACGTATTCCCGCGGCCCTGGGCGACCTGACACTCCCCTAAGCTGCTCAAACCAATGTTAGCCTGATAGGCACGAGTCACTTTTACATGCACCTGTCATATCGGCAAAAAGTTTCCCATGCACAGACACCAATATCAAAGCAACAGCGCTTAAGCACAGTTGTCGTCACCTGGCCCCGCTCTCCTGCCCCCGCTCCCAGTACACACTGTTGATGTTGCTGATGTTGTTACAGGGTGGTTAAGCTTCACCAGCGGCCTCCTTCCCGAGGCAATTCCCTGCTCTCCCCTGCTAGAGGGGCACCCTAATCCATTCACCCCATCCGACTTCAGAGTGTACTCTTTGAGTTTGGCAACTCACCACCAGCATCCAACCAAATCTAGCGGATCAACGGCGCCTCAACTTAGTTCCTGGTCAGCTCGCAAGTTGACACTGTTAACCTAGGTCTGCTGCCAACGGTTCCGCAACCCGCATGGACACCTGAGCCACGTCGTGGAGACACCGCAAGTGGAGCCTTCAAGCATTGGCGTTCTCTGCCTGCACACAGCCTCTGGGGTTACTAAATGCTACATGCTATGGAAATGCCAGACGTACGTCCTCGTCAGAGACGAGCATGCAACCTGACACAGGGCTATAGGCCCTGAAAGTAAAATGACGAGGATGATGTTCCACATGCCACCGTCAAGGCGGCGCAAAAATTCCCCATTAAAAGCGCAAAGGTGTCGCTAGCATGGGGCATAGCCAGTTAGGGCAGCCAGCTCACAGCCATCCTGTGCAAAGGAAATGGTCTACGCACTGCACATTAAAGATGCAGGAACCGTCCAAATATGCCAATTGCTGGGTGCTCTCTATCCGCCTATCGTACATCACCCCACCTTTCTGCTCCGTTTCGAATGTACTTCAAAGCATATCTCAAACGCGAGGGGAAATAGTGCTAAAAATGGCAAGATGCTCCGAAATGTGTCCAATCGTAATGAATGCAGCGCATGCCCGCGTCTTCAAGGCGATAATAGCAACATAGCTCCATAAAAAACCTCCACGCGCTGCGCGGCGTTAAGCAATGACGACCATACACGCAAAGGCGATCCCATCACCAAGGTGACCCCTCTCATAAACAAATTGGCCCCCAATCCCCGTTGTTTTTTATTTACCAAGACCAGCTGGCAACGAAAGCATCACAGGTATCACCACAACCTCTTGCTGGAAGCGCGCCGCCACACCAGGCTGTCGAACCCTGCGTTAGGTTTGGGCTCCCCGCTGCAAACCCTCTCCTCACATCCGAAACACCACGAGCCCAAACCCCTACACGAGCGAACTCCGCTGCATCCAGATACGCGCGGTTCCATCAGTCCAGTGCCCAGCACTTGTGCTTTCCCCACAACCTGTTTCCATCACCGCAAACCTTACTTGAAAAAACCAGGCATGGCACATACTTTAAGCAGTTACACTTTTACTCCTTGAGCAGTTCGCCATCCTGCTTACTTCGTCTCCGAGTTCAAATTCTACCAATCAGACCGCCTGGTCGGCAGTTTGAAACGCCACCGCGATCAGTGCCTGTTCAGTGACACGTGTGGCGACTGCAGTTGGCTACGCGCCGCATGTAGCTGGCTCGCGCCCAAACCGCCAGACCGTACCGCACCGCCATGCCCACCACAAAGCGGCTGACAATGAGCATGACGGCTGCGGCGCCCTGCCAGCCGTGACTAACCGCCATGGGCCACTCCATAACAATGCCGCATATGACCATGTTGACAACACCCAAGGTGAAGCTGTTCATCTGCACAAGATGGGGGAGTGGCACGCGTGGTGAGGCGCGGCATGAGGAGAGTTAGCATGACGAACGAGAGGGTGGGAGAGGCGGGGCTATCACTACATTGAGGACAACCCCCCCTACAGGGTGTTCTGGACAAGACCTGTCTGCTGCAGCCGGTCAGCTGCATAAATGCGGCGCGGAGGCGGAAATCCCGGAAGTCCCGGCCGGGCCGAACCAACTCAAATCCGTAACATGGCGCCTCAAATCTCCCCCGACTAGCCATGTCCTCCGCACCTGCTCCATAACCGGCAGGATGACGCACTGGAACAGCGTCACGAGGGCCTCCTGCAGTCCAGTCAGGTAGCCCCGCAACAGGGAACAGGAGTTGCACGGTAAGAAGAGCTTTTGCAGTAGAAGGCTGCGCTATACCTTTTTTCTAAACTTCTTTTATCCTTTTTTATTGAAAGCTCATTCCTTTTTATCACCTGCCATCCGAACACAGGCGCCCTATACCGCATGATGAAATCCATCCATCCGCCACAAGCCATCCAGTAGACATGGCCCCCAGCAGACACGCATCATCAGCTGTGTCCGTTGTGGCCCCGAAACCAGCCAGCAGAGATGCCATCAGGCATCAGCCGCCGCCACCCACCTGTAGGTCCATGTCCGCCACCTCAAACGCCTCCGGGTGCGGTCGGCCCACCAGGTGCACCGCCGCCACCCCCACACATTGAACCACCGAGCCAATGACCAGAGTGGCGTCATGGGCGCGGCCGCCTAGCCCCAACACGACCACCAGCGCACTGGCGCACAGCTTGCAGAGCGAGGGGCCCGTGGCACTCAGCAGCTCGCCCAGAAAGGCCAGCGTAGCGCCAGCGCGAAGATGCAATGACGGCGACCCGTGGGTCATTGTCAAGGATGCGCCGGTAGCGGCCTGGGCCGCCAGGAACTTGCACACACACCCGGCCAACACCGCTGCGTGAAAGGCCAAACCGAAATGGCTGCGCTGCAGTGCCAGGGCGGCGGTGCGGGCTGTAAAGTCTAGCTCCAGGGAGGGGTCCGTGAACCCGTAAAGTGGAGCTGCCCACGGCAGGTGCCGGAGGGCGGCGCTGCGGCGGTGGATGGCGCGTGTGAGGCGGCGGCAGCGGCCTAGTGGCCTGGTGCTGGCGCTAGTCGCGACTGTAACACCGCTGCTGCTGCTGCTATCGTCACCAGAGCCGCCGGAGCCTGGGGAGCTAGGTGGGTGGAGGACTGGTAGGGGGGCTCGCACTTCATGGAGCTGAGGGCGACATGGAGCTACCGGCGGCTGCAGTGGCGAGTGCTGCGAGCTGCCGCAGGTGCCAGTTCTATCCCCGGGTGGAACAGCGCCAGTCCGTACATCCCTTGCCGCCAGCCCTACCGCACCACCAGGGTCATCATCACCAGGGTCATCATCAATCACGCCTGATGCGCTGTACAATAGCCCGCTGTGGCCGCTGCTGTCACCTGGGAATGTACCGCATGGTCGCGGCGGCTGCGTTCCGCTGCGAGCGCCTCCCGCGACGCCACCGTTCAAGTCAGATGGCGAAGTTTCAGCTGCTGTTGCCGGCGGCGGCACCAGCACCTGGTCGCAGTCATCGCAAGGAACCGCTGGATGTGTCACCAGTTGCTGAGCCGTCGCCACGGCCGCCGCCAGCGCCACCTCCGGCTTCGGCCAGCCTAGCGCCTGAGCCTCCAGCACCTCCATTGCCAGGAGCTCCTTAAACTGGGTGAGAGAGAGAGCGGAAGGGGATGGGGTCGAAGAGGTCGGAAAAAAGCTGCGCACATCGCATTCGAAAGTGATGAGCGTGAAGAAGAGGGGAAGGACGGGCTGGAGAACGCCAAACACAGCGGCGGGGTAACAGCGAGGCAGCTGTAGAAGGGGGGAAGGGGTGGGCTTCTCGGAATGGAGGCCAGAAGGGAGGGTTCCGGTCCGGGCAACATGCCTCCGGGCAACATGGCAAATAACTCAAAAAGGCGCTTCGTCTTCCGCCGCCCCCGGCAAGAGGCAAAGGACGGGAGACCTGCCTGGACGGGGCCCCCCGTAACACGTCATGGTCATGGAGGGGGATACACGAGTTCAGATTCACATGTCACATCAAGTGCTTCAACCTCTCTTCAACCTCTCTTCCCCCCTCTTCCCACCTGTGAATTAAGCTCCGCCGCACCAGCACGCAGGGCGTACTGCGCGGCGCTGTTGCCGCCGCCGTCGCACACCGTGAACCAGGCATGCGCCACCAGCGGACACAGGCTCATCAGCGACTGCACCTGGTCGGGCGACTTGCCGTACATCAGCGCCGCCAGATGCAGCGCCGTCACGCCGCCAGGGCCGGGTCGTACAAACAGCACCGTACAGGCGCTCATGGTCCCCAGCCCAGGATCTCCCTCCAAGCCACCGCCTACACCGCCGCTACCACCCGGGCCAGCAGGAGCAGCAGCAGCAGCAGCCAGCGCGGCTGCGGACGAAGTAGGATCCACTTGCACGACAGGAGTCGCAACGGCGGCGACAGCGCCCGGCGGCGGCAGCGGCGTTACCTCTTCCCTAGCCCGCAGTAGCAGCGATTCCACAACCTCAGCACTGCCCGAGGACACAGCCAAATGCGCCAGACCCAGGCCCTCCCTGCCGCCACGGCCGCCGCCGCTCTCCCCCGCCAACGCCGCCATCAGAGCTCCCACCTCCTCATCCACCTCTATCAGCCCAAGTCCCGCGCCGGCAGCGCGCGACAGCACGTACGACAGCAGCGCCGGCAGGCCCTGCTTACAGGCGTACGCCGCCAGGCTGGCCGCCAGGCACATTAGCTGCGCCTCCGCCTCACCCTTTCTCCCGCTTTGCTGTCCCACTGCAATCCCCTGCTGGACTCCGTTAGCGGCCGCGTCGTCGTCACCACTGCCATCTACGTCGAGCTCTTGCCCAGCTTCCAGACGCTCGTCGCCCTGCACATCCGCCACGGACCAGCTGCTGCTCGACTCCGAAACCAGATCATCCGGGCCCACGGCCCCATCCGCATCCTCCGCGCCCCCAGTGCGGCTGCTCCCCTCCCCCGACCAACCACAAGGCCCGCTGGCGGCCGATGGCAGCTCCGGCCGCAAATCCCAGGGTATGCCCTCGGCCGCCGTCAGCGGCTGGGTGGGCGTACTGTGTGTGCGCGCGACCCAGGCTTGTGCCTCCCCCCTGGCCGCCAGCTCCAGAAACTGACCCAAGTCGTACAAGAAGGACAGGAGCCAGGGCGGGTACTGCAGCAGCTGCTGCTCCCCTGCCTGGTAAGCACCGTCCGCGGCCATGGCCGCAGCAAGCGCAGCGACCGCGACGGCGTTGACCTCACGCTGTACGGCAGGGGCATCCACAACCACCACAGGCAGAGGTGCTGACAGCAGCGGTGGGGGCGCCACCGCAGACAGTGTGTGTACGTCCAGTTCCATTTCCAGCAGCATCAGACCCGGGCTAGGACAAGGCCCCGCGATAACGCACGCCGGCACCGCTGCGCCGCTGGCACCGGCACGTAAACCGCCGCGGTTGCCTCTGTCCCCAGCTGCTGCCGCCGCCGCCGCCGCTGCGCCCTCTCGCGCATACGCCATCGGCGGAGCCTCGGGTCCCCCGACTGCAGACGGCGCCGCGGCTACAGTGGCCGATATGGGTTCCCACCGATCCAGGGAGGGCCGCAACAGCTCTGCCGTATCCAGCTGCTGCTGCTTGTTATGCCAGGGCGGCCCAAGTAGTACAGCCGTACCAGCGGCGAAACCGTCTGCCGCGGCCACATCGGCGCTCCCGCCGCCGTTGCTCCGTGGCTGGTAAGCTCCGTCCACCCGCACCTCCGTTGACGGAGAATCCCACATGATGCGGCACGGCTGTGGCGCCGCGTCCAAGCAGCCGTACCGTGCCAATATCCGCGGCGGCGGTGCAGCGGAAACTACCCCTGGGCTCCTAGCTGCGACGCCGCCCGGCAGTGCCGCGCCATCGGCACTACCAGCACCAGTACCAGCACTGCCGGACACGCAGGCGGTCGTCGTGCCAGGTGGTGTGTGGGCGACGACGTGCAGATGCAGGGACTGCGCAGAGGCTAGGACGCATGGCGGATCCAGGAGCGTCAAGAAGGGTACGACAGGGTACGATGTCGTCGCCGCCGGGGCCGGGGCTCCGCTTGCTACCCCTTGCTACCCGCACGACAGGCGCCGTCGGCGCCGCCGCCTGCTGTACTCAACCACCAGTAGGATGCAGCCCCGTCGCAAGTACGCCGCATCCACCCCGAGAGCCTCACCCTCACCGCCACCGCCGCCGTTATCAACTGAGCTGTGAGTGCCACCGCCGCCGCCACCACCGCCGCCGTCGCCCTGTGCAGCCCCGCGGGCCGGCGTCTGCAGCGCCAGTGCCACCTTTCCCCGCCAGCCGCCCGGTGCCTCCTCCGGCTCGCCGCTGGGGATCTTGTAGGTGCTGCGACCCCGGATAAACGGCGCCGGGTACACCACGTGTCTCTCAATCTGCCTTGTCAACTCCATGGCGCAGTTGTAGTGGTCCAGGCTGGGCATGGGGTGACCTGCCAGTTTTGCATTGAGCACCTCTAGCCGGGCTGCTGCCCGCGCGGTGGCAATGGCGGTGGCGGTCGCTGCAGTGTCGCCGGTGTCCGCCACGCAGCTAGCCTTGGGCGGCGTGGGCTCATATGAAGCGGGGGGCCTTAGGGGGGAGGAGGAGCCGCTGCGCCCGTCGGGTTGCCGGGCGGGTCCGGGAGCCAGCGGGGCGCCTATGCGGCTGCTTTTCTTCCTGCCACTGCTGTCGCTTCCACGTTTACCTTGGCGTCTGCGGGGCCCTTGGCTGGGGGACGTGAGCTGCGGGGTAGGGGACGGGTGCACCAGCAGGGGCTGAGGGGCTGTGTGACGAGTCGGTGAATGAGGAGCTGCAGGACGCGGCGGTAGCAGCGTTGCTGGCGCGATGGAGGAGGCATCAGCGCCTGGCGTGGTCTCAAGCACTGCGGCTGTGTTAGTAGTAGTGGAAGTGACCAGACCGAAATGCGGTTCTGGCAGCTGCAGCGGCCGGTTTGGGGCGAGGTCGCAATGGAGCTGGGAGAAAGAAGCTGCTGAGCCAGGTGGAGAAAGGTCGGCAGCGCCATGAAGATGTGAGCTTTTGCCCTCATCGTTACTTCCAGCAGGAGGATGCTGGGATACCTCCATGGAATGCTCGGAATTGGAGTTCCGGACGCGCCCAACAATCTTGGCATCGGGCTTACGGCGTCCTCCTTTCTCATCGCAGTGGAGTGCAGTCCTTAATCTTGCCGTCCGGCGCCTTTGTGCTAGGCTTCCGACCAGATAGGCTAACTCAACCCGCAAGACTATCAATAATAATCCGATCGTCACTGCCACAACCCATGAAAGCAGCTGTTGGCGCAGAAAGCATTGGAATATTTCTGAAATATACGATACGCCTGGCCCTAAGACCAGAGCCATTTGGAATAAAGTCAGGTGCTAGAGAGACGTTTATTCTGAAAGGTTCTGTCCACAAATGCAGGCAACCACAAACGCAGGCACAAAACCAGGCTCAACACCCCACTCGCTGCAGCCCTGGCCCTGTCACTGTCACGCTCATCTTGTAAAGGTGGATCCAGTCACTCAGGTAGCATTGCCAGATCATAATCGTTCCCTGGCCATTCTGTAATTTCGCGTGTCTGTGAGTACTTACAGCACTCTCTATGTACAACATAAGATCAATTCATTAAAAAATACATAGAAAATGTGGGAGTTGCAACGAACGTACTACTTGCACATAAAGTACTGACAAAGACAGTCACGTACGGAAGAAAAACTTGTTTTGGCTCAGCGATCCCTCGAGCAGGACAGCTCTTGGAATTTTAGTTTTAGAGACTGGATGAACGGCACTGTGTAGTTTTTATAATCTCGGAGCTCAGAATGGCACACCAATTGCTGCGGCGGCCGGTCCTAGGTTGCAGGGCTCCCGCAGCCCTACCATGCCCAGCACAGATTGCTGTGACACGAACAGCATGCAACAGGTTGCCAATTGTGCTTCGCATATCGTCGCCTTTGCGGCCCCAGCAGTCCACAGTAAACCGCCGGGTCATCCCTCAAACTCCGTGTCTAGCGGCTGCGGAGAGTGAGGTCGCCGACCCCATGGAGCGGCCACGCTCCAGATTCCTCTTCGACACATCTCCTGAAATTATCGACAGTCCGGACGCACCAGAATTGCCCATGGTGCGCTTCGTCAAACCACGCATCGCCCCCTCCGGCCAACAAGCTTCCTTAAACAACACCGTTGTCGTTCTGCCTTTGCAGCCAAGCGAATATCAGCAAACTTTATGGACGTCCTTTGCGTTGGCGGGTATCGGCCTCCACACAGGAGAATACGGTAGGCTGTAGTCGGAAAGCGCCTCACGTAACGACGTAACACGATTACGCAGCACACGCCGCTCATACCAATCACCTTGAGCGGTGAACATCTATACTCCTCAATTTGCTCCAACATCACGTAAAAAAACATATCCCGAATTCCACCTCGCACGCCTAGGTCAACAACATGCGACCCTACCTTGCGTTTCGATCGGACGGTAGACTCTCCTTGGCCCCCCGGCCTCCATGCCTGTCTTTTCCCCCCCTTTTCCCTCTTTCCCCGCGCAGCCTGTGTTCGCGTGCGCCCCGCCTTCGCCGGGGAGGGCCGCTACTTCGTGCGGGTGGCTGAGGGCACCAACGCCCCCCGGGCCATGGCGGGCGCGGATATGGACCTGCAGGAGGAGATCATGGAGGACATTTCCACGGAGGAAGGTGGGAGAGGGGGCGGGTGGGAGGGTTTGGAGGGGGAAAGGAGGAGGCAGAGCCCGAGGAGGGGGGAGGAAAAGAGGCCACACACCTCCCCCCTCTTGACATGTAATCCGCTCCAAGTCCTCTCGATCTGTACCGCCCGCGGGTCCCAACAAACCTAACCACCTACCCAACTTAAGTCACGTGTCAACGGTTCCATTCCGGACTGATTCCCGTTTGGTCTCCCTCACCCCCCGTCACATGCCCCTTCACATGCGGCCCGCCACGGGGGGGGCCCTGCACCTCCTTGGCCCACCCCCGCGCCAAATGCTCCCCTCCCCCCCCCCGCATCGGAGGCAGACAGTTATTTCTTTTACATTGGCTATTGATTCTCTCCCTCCCTCTCCCTCTCCCTCCCTGTCCGGGGTGGGGACCCCCTTCATGCGCCCCCTCGGGTCCCACACGCCTCATATCACGCCAGGTTTGCTGAACGACCCGGAGTACCGGCAGGAGCTGGTGACCGCCTACCAGGAGTATGTGGATGCGCAGGTGGGGGGCGGAGGGGGGGGAATGGACGGGATGCATGTAGGTGGGCAGGTAAGTATGTATGTATGTACGTGTTGGTATGTATACAATCCCCCCTCCCTCCGTGGACACGACTCCTCTACATTGGCCCTGTTACTTGGTGCATGGCATGACATGACCACCACTCCCGGGTGCCCCCCCCTGCCCCGCGTGTTCTTCCCCCTGGCCAGGAGGAGGAGGGTTTTGGGGGATCCTTTGTGGATTACCTTCAGGCCCAGGAGTACACGGATTTGGTGCAGGTGCGCGTGTGTGTGTGTGTATGGGGGGAAAGAGGCGGGGGACACAGTGAAGGGGAGGGGGAGAGGAGAGGGGAGGACGGGAACCCGATGTTTCCGTGTTTCTCAGGTGGTGGCCGTACGGGGGTAGTCAGCAGCACAGCAGGAGGGGAGGGACGTAACGGATATGTCAAACACACATCTGAACCCCAACCACACACACACATACACATACACACACGTCACCCAACCAACCACAATCGACGCACACACCCCACCGTCCCCTTTACCCGGCACGCACCGATTGGATGCCGCAGTACGAGCTTTGGTACGGGTCTCCCGCCGCCACACCTCCTTGCCGTACACCCTCCTCCCCCTTGCCCCCTCCCCTTGCAGCGTCTGGAGGAGCAGGGGCCCCCCAAGTTCCCGTTCTCCCAGGCAGAGGAGCCTCAACCCCGGGATGAGGGGGAGGTGTACGTGCCCGCCTCGTGCGGGTTTGTGTACGAAGCCAACCCCATCACCACCACAGTGGCCCGGGGGAACTTCCAGGTGCGGGGGGGGCCCGGGAGGGTGCGTGCGTGTGTTTTGTGTTTAGTGTTGAACCGCGTCCTCCGTGCCCACCGCGCACAGCTCAAGTATATAAAAGTGAAATTCCCTCCGGAAGCAAACGCCGCTGTCACCGAGCAGTGTGACCCCTCACCAGGGGGGGAGGGGGAGGGGGAGGGGGCAGTTGTGGGGGCACTGGGTCGCCCCGCTGAGTGGCTCATGGGGGCTACCGCAGTGCTGGAGGACTCCACACGCCCGTGCACATGTGGTCTCCCACCCGCCTCCTGGACATCCCCTCCCCCCCCACCACCACCCCACCCGTTTCCCCCCCCCACCACCACACACACACACATCCAGGTCGCGGGTGTGGAGTCGCTGCTGTCAGCCCTGGAGGCCTGCGGGGTGGATAATGCGAGGTGGGGGGCCCGGGAGGGGCGGGTGTGTGTGTTTTGCGACCTCCGCTGGTGCAGTAACCAACGTACGACAGCGCCTGTCGTAAACATACAGACATATCGATTCCCCGCGCACATACAGACGCTCACACAGAGACGCGTGTTTTGATTTTCGATTACCCGATGCTGAACACACACACATACATACGCACAGTTAGGGCCCCCCCCTCCCCCCTCCCAGTTCTACGTCTGATACACTCTTGCCCTGGCAGCAGCTTCACTCGTTCGTGGTTCGTTTCCCCCCCTCTCCTCGACCCTCTTGCCCTTCCGTTGTTTCCCCTCATTTTCCTTCCACGCCATACACACGTACGTACATACATTCATTCATTCATGCATACATCCATGCATACATCCATGCATACATCCATGCATACATCCATGCATACATACATACATACATACATACATTCATGCATACATCCCCCCATCCCACTCAGGATTGAGATCGAGGGGGGTGATGAGCTGCCCGTGCTGGACGGGTCCGCGGAGGGGTGGACTGACGAGATCTGTCGGGCGGGGTTGCGGTACGCCCCCACCCGCCCCGACCTGACCGTCGCACTGCCCCCGGGGGCCCTGGGGGGTTTGGGGCCGGGGGGGGAGGGGGAGGAGGGGGGCAGCACTGCGGGAGCGCGAGGAGGGGAGGGGCAAGGGGAGGAGGAGGGGGAGGAGGGTGTACGACAAGGAGGTGTGGCGGCGGAAGGGAGACCCGTACCGAAGCTCGTACTGCGGCCCCAATCGGTGAGTGCTGGGTAAAGGGGGGGATGGGGGGATTGTGTGTTGGAGACGAAAGGGGAGGGGAAGTTGGAGAACTGGCCCGAAGCGTGTACATGTCCCTGTGTGTTTTCCTCTGTCTCACCCCCGGCGGTCCGCCCTTCCTGTCTGTCCTGCTCGCTCTGGGGATGATAGTGGGGGAAGCCGTTTGATTGGTGGCCTCCGTAATACACAGACACGCACTCACGCACATACACACACACACGCACAGGTAGTTTCGGTTGTCCGCGGCTCCTCCTTCGTAACGCTCTACCCGGAGGACACCTTCCGCATCACCGCGGGTCTGGACCGGCACCGGGAGGCACCCGTGATCGGGAAGCAGTGGCTCACGTGGTGCATGTTTGAGGACGTACACTACAAGTGAGGGGGGGGGAGGGAGAGGGGGAAGGAGGGAGAGGGGGAGGGAGGGAGAGGGGCAGGGAGGGAGAGGGGGAGGGAGGGAGAGGGGGAGGGAAAGCACTGCAGCGGAAATGATGGTGCGCTGCAAGTGGTGGTGGTGGTGGTGGCGGTGGCGCCGGTGAGCCCGGGCCCCCCTTACAGTCGCCAGTGGCAGTGGCGGCGGTCCAGGGGGGGAGGGAAGTGGGGAGAGGAAGTGTCGCCCAAACCCCACGTCGTACGACATCCCCGGCCCCCACCCCCTCCTGTGCCCCGTGCGGCCCACTCGAAGTAAATCCCCATTGCCTGTTTTACATTGTGTGCTCAACTTGGGGGTTCACCCGTCTATCCCGTGCGTTTTATGTCTGCATGTATGTGTGTGTATTCTGTGTGCGGCTCACGTGTCATGTGTTTGCAAGTCCCATGTGTGTGTTTTCCCCCTCCCCTCTCCCCCGCACCCGTCCTTTTCAGGCACGCTCTGAGCGGCGCACGCGGCTTCGTGAGCTCCCCCGAGCAGGCCATGGGGATGCGAGATGCCGGGTGGTTGATGGGCGGTACGGAGGGGGTGATGCTGATTGCCCTGGACGACCGTTGGTACGACCCCGATCTGGTACGACATGCTGACGAGCCCGCCAGGAGGCAGATTCAGGATCTCATAGGTACGGGGCTCAGAAGTGACGGGGGGGTTTCAGAGCTGTGTGTGTGTGTGTATGAGGTGGGTTGTAGGGTGTACGGGGGGCATCTCGGGGGTTTGTGGGGGGGAGAGGGGTTTTAGTCTGACGTGGTGTGTGTGTGCGCGCGCCATGTAGAAGGGAGGGGCCACCCAGTACGGCATTAAGGCGTCACTAGCTTCCCGGGGTTTTGGAAGATACCCGGGGGGGGGGCAACCCCCTAGGACCCCAAGAAACGACTTTGCTAACTTTCACTCGCACACGTTTTCTCTCTCCTCTGGGCCCCCCCCCGGGTCCCCCCCCCCGGGTGTCACACAGGTGACTTGTCGCTGCTGGCTCGCGACGGTCATTCGGGTTTGCCGTGCGGCCACATTGTGTCGTACAACGCGGATCACGAGCTGAACGTTGCCTTCGTCGAGAAGCTTCTGGAGTCCACTCGGCAAGACGGCGACCACGGGGACTGGGTGCCCATCCGCAATGTGGCCGGTGGGTGGCAGGGGCTGGGAGGGGGCGGGAGGGGGTGGGAGGGGGGCGCCAGGGGGGCAAGGTGCTGTGGCAGTGTGGGCAAAGTCGAGACAGGAAAGCACAGCAGCGGCCGCCGGCTGCCAGAGTGACTCAGAACAGAACCGCTGAAGGGGTCCGCTGGGGTAAGTCGCCGGGAGGCGCAACTGCTGTCATGTGAACGTCACTACTTCCGACATATTCTGGGTGCCGTACTCAGCGCGTTGATGACCGTGTGGGCGCCCCCCCATGCCTCCGTGGTTGCGTGGGTCGACGTGAGTGACGTGTCTTCCCCTCCCCCGCCCCGCCACCCTGCACCCGGTGGTAACCATTCTTCGCTCTTCGCGGGGGGTGGGTGCTGCTTGCGGTTCCTTTTCCCCTCAAGAGTCTCTCCGTCGGCAGCTGGTAGTTAACTTTGTACGTGACTCGCTCCGAAACCCCAACTCAATGCCGTACAGGTCCTTCCCTCCCAGTGGAGTTGAGCGAGCTCATGAGCGACGTCATTGCCGAGCCGGGGGAGCTCGGGGCGGGAGAGGAGGACGAGGAGGAGGAGGAGGAGGAGGGGGCGGCGGCAGCTGGGGAGTACGACGAGGCGGATGAGGAAGAAGTGGACGAGTACGGCGAGGCAGGGGAGTTTGAGGAGTACGAGGACGAGGAGGGGGTTGTGGATGTGGAGGCGACGGAGGTGGAGGATCCTAGGAAGCGGCGGGGTGGTGGTGGTGGTGGTGGTGGCATGGGACGTCGGTGAGGAAGTGGGGTGTGTGGATGTGTGTGTGGATTAGGGGATAGAGGCGGAGGAGGACAGCGGATAGGGAGGGGAGCGCTAGCTGAAATGATAAGTGTGGTGATGTGGGTGGTGGGCTTCGAATCCGCGATTTTACGATTAGGGACCATTACTGTTTTATATGACTGATGGAGGCGGTGTGCCGCGGTGGTAGCGAACAGCCACAGACGGCAAAGCGACGGTGTATTCTGTAGATGACATGACGAATGCCGTATATGCGACTGTACGACGTGACGGGGTGTTACAGGCAGCTGGTGTGGGTTAGCTCGCCCCACACGCACACAACAACCACAAGGCGAAGCCGCGGGCTGTCTTGTGCCGTCGGGATCATCACCGCAGCCGCCCCACCTCCACGACCAGCAAACCACACAGGGACCCCCCACAGCCACCAAGGGGGGTGAGGTCAACACTCCGCTAGGGGGAGGGGAGGGGAGGGGAGCACAGAGGAGCTGAACGGCGAACGGCAGCTGGTGGTGGTATTGCGATTTGGCGCAGATGAGTGTTAAGACCAGCTACCCAGGTGTGGTGAGCACAGCGACCTCAGGAGTTCCTTGAGTAGCGCACTTCCGGGATCTGGTGTCCTGTGCAGTTCGGCACACATACATACATACATGTATACATGTACATATATGTACACACACACCACACGGCTTGCGGCTCCAGGCGGTTAGAAAACCAGGAGGGCAGACCAACTTGGCGAATGACGACATACCGTACGGCTTTACCACCAAATGAACTCATTTCTTACCATCACCAACATCACCACCTCTAAATGTGTTTTTATGGGCGGGAGCCCTCAGGCAGCATCCCAAGCAGGGGGACATACACACAAACAAACAACGGAAGACCCGCTAACACACACACGCACACACGCTCGCGGGGCGATACAGGACCCCACCCGGCGCAATTCGTTCGCTCGCGTGTGCGCGTGTGCTACTGCCGACCTCCCGCGCATTAGCGCTGTTCCCTCCTCCTCTCCCTCACCACCACAACACCAACAAAACATTTAATCAAAGGTGCGCCAAAATGAATACCCGCTACTCGCGAGTGCTACTGCTACTGTAGCAGTACTACTGCCACTGCCCCTACTGCTACTGCCAGTACTAAATGAGTGCTGTACACTTCACAAGCCACAACGTCCTGATGGTGATGACGTCACTGTCAGGATATTTCCCCCAACACACCGGAGGGGGGGGGTCTCCCCAATGTCAACAAGTCCATGCACACTCTTAAAGCCTCTTGAAGCCGATAGATGATAGATAGAGAGATAAATAGACAGATAGATATATGGATAGATCGCAATCGCAAACCCGACACGACCCTGCGCGTTACAACCACCACAACCACCACCACAACCACCACCAGCACTATATCTCAGTGATATGGCCAGCAGCACCCGTCAAGAGGGCATCGGCTCCCCACACACATACATACATACATACATACACGCGAGGGAAGGCCACCAAACAGCAACCACCCGATAATGCGCGCACCAAGGTATATCCTGGATCACTCACCAACCAACCAACTAACCGACCAACCAACCAACCGACCGACCGGACAAACTACCTGCTACTGCCACTGTTGTGGCCCCAGCCCCGGAACCACAGTGGAGCACGTGGGCAGGTAACTGACGCCGCTGCTGGTAACGGGCGACGGAGGCGAAGCGCCAGCCACGGTGGCGCCGCCGCAGCCGGTGGTCGCGAAGGCGGTGTCGGCGCCGCGCAGAGCTTCGGGACTATGAAGGGTCCATCGCGCCGCCGTACCAGCGGCAGCGGCCGCCGCCGCCGCCGTCACGGCGGCACCATGCGCCCCAATATACATCGCAAGACCCGATGCCGTACGATTCGAGCCGCCGGAAACGGTGCCGCCGCCCGAGTTACCTGTGGCGGGTGACGCGCTCGCACGTGTCGATAGGATGCCGTGCAGATGGTCCAAGTAGTACGGAGCCAGGTGGCGGCCGCTGCTGCCGCCGCCAGTCCCCCCGCCGCCACCGCCGCCGCCACCGCCGCCGTCCAGCCAGTGCGGGAAAGACATGGCGCTGCTGGACGGCATGTAGCTGATGCCGCTCGAGGAGGCCGTAACAGAGGGCATACGGCCAAAAAGTGTGTTGCTGCCGCTACAGCCGCTGCCGGCGTTGATGGCCGCCGTACGGGCCGTTGCCGCCGCCGCAGCCGCCGGTGCCGACGGCACCGCGTTAGCAGGGCCCGCTGCGGCTCGGGGCGGCGGCGGTGGCGGCGGCGGCGGCCCGGGCAGCATGAACATATCGCTGTCCAAGATGGCCGCCTCGGCTGAGACTGCCAAAGCCAGCTGGGATTCATTGCCGCCGGTGGGCCGGTGGGGACTCCGTCGCCGCTGCGGCGGTGGCGGCAGCGGCGGAGCCGCTACTGGCAGCGGCGTCGGAGGATCGAACCCCTGTCGTGGCACTGAAACCAGCTTCGGAGCTTCTGTTGGACGCCCCGCAATGTGCCGTACAGTAGGCGCCGCCGCCGCCGCCGCTGCCGGAGATGCCGAGGCCGATGCCGTTGCCCCCGGCGGGGATGCAACCGGTCCTGGCAGCCCAACACGGAGTCGAGTCTCCCCCGGCCGCTCTGTGTGAGCCGGCTGCGCCCGGGCGGCGGGTGCGGACGCCAACACCGACGCCGCCAGCGCCTCCTCCACGTGCCGCGGCGGCAGCACCTTGTACGCCAGCTCCGAAACCGCCGCCGACGAGGGCTCCATACGACTGCTTGGGACGTCATTCGCGGCGGCCGCCGTGGCAGCCTGGGTGCTGCGACCCCGCATCAGCAGCGTCGCCAGCGAAAAGCCCCGTCGGACACTACGGCGCGCGCTGGCGTTGGCGCTGCCGCTGCCGACGCTGCTGGCGCTGCCGCCGCTCATACGCGCCACGAAGAGGCCGTTGGAGGTCGACGGCCGGCCCTCAGCCAGGGGCGCAGCAGGCAGCTGCTGAGGTTGGGCGACGACGTCAACACACGACCCACATGCACGTGACGGCACCGCCGGCACCGCCGCCGCCGTCGCCGCCACCGTGGCTGCGAAAGCTCCCTGCGCCGTGGACGGGTGCGATGTCGTGATTCCTTGGTACCAATGGGACAAGGACGAAACGGAGCATGTCGCAGGGAGGGCACCGACCCCGCCGACGCCGACGCCGGAAGAAGTGCCGGCGGCGACGGCGACGGCGACGGCGGCGGTGTCGCGACCCGCACTTGGCTGAGGCGTCGGCCTCCGGGACCAGATAAAAGAGCCGCTGGATCGACGGTGTACGACATTACCGGTGCAGCTGTTGAACGCTGCAGCCGTCCCGAGCGACGGGCTTCCGCTACCGCCGCTGACGCCGCTCCCCAGGAACTGAAGTTTGCTCGCGCTCAACTCCCGGGGGAGAGTTGTCGTAGTGGCGGAGGACCCCGGCGTCAGCCGTACAGCGCGACTCGTTAAGGCCGAGGCCGACGCCAGCGGCGACGATGGTAACGGCTGGGAATCCGCCGCCAGCTGCGGGGGTGACGGCGGCGGTACCGTATGCTGTTCCCCGCCGCCAGCTCTACAGGTGACGCAAGCCATCCACCCGCCTCCCGTCGCCGCCGGCGGTGGCATCTGTCCCTTCATGACCCTGGCGGCAGCTGCCGTATCAAAAGGTGACACAGCATTGTCTCGGCAACTGCCACCTCCGTCAACATCGCCCAAGTAGCCCTCCCCGGACGTCATAACTGTCGTACTTGCCGCCGCCGCCATGCTTGGCAGCGTGCCTTTACGCACCCTCGTACGGCGAAATGCTTGCAGTGCCGGCGGCAGAGCGTCTAGGGAATACAGCGTGTCCTGCTCGTCCAGTGGTACGGTGCTCGTAACACTGTGCTCCGCTGCCTCCGTCGCCAGCGCCTGTGCCAGTGCCGGCCCGGTAGATCTGTGCGTTCCGCTCTGTGTCTCGCCGCCGCTGCCGCCGCCGCCGCCCATCCGCTCCATTCGCATGCCCGATCCCACACCCTCCCGCGGGGAGACCTTCGCAACGCCACCTGCCGTACCCGCCGCTTCCGCTGCTGCTGCAGCGGAGGTGGGCGCAGCAGCCGCTGCTGGTGACGCAAAGACGGCCCTTATCAGCGGCGGCGGCGCGGCGGCGACGGCCGTACCTGTGCTGTTGAAACCGCTGCCGTTACGCGCTGCCGAGCACAGCGCGCTGCTCGTGCTGCAGCCAAACGGCGGCGAATCCAGCGCGCCGCCAAAGCCGCCTGGCGGCGCCGCCGCCGCCTTCATCCGCGCCTTCCCCATCCTGGAGTTGTGCCCCCTTATGGTCGCCTGGTCGGGGCCCATCGATGAGAAGCCCCGCAGCTGGCCGCCCGGGAAGAGGCGGAGGCAGATGGACAGGGAGGCCGGGGAGGGGGAAATCGTCAAGTCGCCGCCGTAGTCCCCGTCGCGGCCGCCACGGCTCGTCATCACCGCCGCTGCGCCAGCAGGTCCCGGGGCCGACGGCGGCAGCCAACCCGCGTGATGCGGGATATACGTCCCGCCGCCGCCGCCGCCGCCGCCGCCGCCGCTGCCTACCACCGTCTGACGCCAGCTTGCGCTCCCCAGAGCCGCCGCCGCCGCCGCTGCTGCTGCCGCCGTACCGCACTGCACATCGGAAATTTCCGCATGGACATCGACGGCGGCTATCCCGGTTGCCTCCGCGGCGTCGGCGGCCTCCCCGTCCGCGATGACGTCGCGGCGTGTGGATGTGGCGGAACCGGAAGGCTCGCGGCCAGACGCTGCTGCGAACGCCGCAGCGGCGACGGCGGCGGCGACGGCGGGGCTCTGTCGGAAGACGTCCGTGTAGTCCTCCGCCGTGTACGGCTCCATGCACTCCGCCAGGGGGTGGCGCCAGGAAGTCCTCTTCCGGCGTGTGGGCAGGTTCATGTCCCGGAGCAGCTGGTCGTGGTACGACTGTCGTACAGGGTGGAGAGGAAATGAGGAGAAAAAAACCTTGGATGATGATAATGAGGGGGCGGAGGATGTAAGAAGCAAAGGAATAACTACCAACTACCAACTACCAACCGAAGGATGTGTGTGCAGGGGGGGAGGGAAATCCTTCCCAGTCTCTCACCAGCATGTACAACATGACGGTGCTGCCACGGAGCTTGTGCGGCGGCATTGTACGGCGCCGCCACTCCCGCTGCGCCGCCACGTCAGCTGCCATGGCCTCCGGCGGCGGCAGGTTGACTTGCCCCGCCAGCACCGCCGCCAGCCACTCGGCTTGCAGTGCTGACGTCAGGATGTTGTTGAAGGTGGAGACCTTACGTTGGGGCGGAGGGGGAGGGTGCGGGGGACGGGGGTTACCGCCAGAGGGGGGGGAGTAGCGCCGATAGCAGCTGGGGACATCAAAATCAATTTACATTGGGATTTTTTGATAACCTCCCTTTAGGGCTTTAGGAGCTCAAGAAGTGGGGTGGGTAGATAGGTCGGTAGGTCGGTAGGTACTCCCGACCACCTCACCCCCTCAGCCTCCCCCCCCCCCCAAACACACCTCCGCCCCCACAAACGCGAGTCCGGGCAGTCCGGGCACCAGGCAGTGCCGGTACAAGTACAGCCCGTCGTGCTGTACGTCAAGTGCCGCCCGTACATCCGGCTCCAGGAAGGTGTAGTGACTGCTGTACCCGGTGGCGTACTGGAGGAGGGGAGTGTGGCGACCGATGTACGACGGTGTACGACACATGGCCTTCATCAATGTGTTTGCAATATGTTGTCGGTGGAAAGGTAAAAAGCGGGAGCAGTACGGCGTTTTCCGTACTGCAGCCGGGGCCTTACACACACCCGCAAGTAGTGTCTCGTATGTTTTGTAATTAGGGCGAACATAAGAATACGTCGTACGACAGGCCGCAACCCCCCACCTCCCCCACCTCCCCCACAATAGGCGCGAACCCACCCGCCCAAACCCCCAGGCGCGGGGAGCCGCCGGGGGAAACCCAAAGCCCCCCTCACCAGCACGACATCCGGATCCAGCTCCGTACCGTCCTGCAGTACTGCAGATACGGGAGTGAAGTGGTCCACCTCCCCTGTCCAAATCCAGATCCAGATCCAAATCCAAATCCAAATCCAGATCCACGTCCACCAG